AGATGTTTTGCCACAAAATCTATATAGTTTCTTGCTTAAGGGAAATCTTGAGTGGCTAAAAACTAAGGTATCTACATCTACATATAACATCTAGATAAAGCATTTTGCCAATAATTACAAATGGTTGTAACCATCCAACCAAACTATAACTTCCAATATGTTGCCCAAGGTATGTACTGGACACGAGAAGAACATGCCAACCAAATAATTAAGATATCAGGTATGAGATTTAGGAGAGAAATCAAACAAGATGGATATGGTTCTGTTTTCCGAAACGTGTACTATTTTCAATTAAAACTGTGAATATATATTAGCACTACCCCGAGCACAATCAGTGTAGAAAAGGGGGGGGGGGGGGGAGGCGGAGTTTTTAGGCTACCACCTCTAGCCGAACGGGGGGGGGGGGGGGGGGGGGAATTCCTGGCTATGCTTAGTTGAAGGAGCAAAAAGCCAAGAAAAGACTAATTAAGCCAAAAAATCCTGAGTTTAACGATTTACTTTAATGGCAAGGAGTCCAAGCGTGAAGGCGCTCCCCTTCTCGACTTCGTGTTCATAAGGCCTCGGACCAGTGTCCTCCTCTCTAAACGGCAGCGGTGCCTGTAAATGCCTCACCAATTCCGGAACCGCCCCGCAGTCCACTATCACGTTCACCATTTCCTCTGCAACCACACACACCCCATTTCTCCACAGATCAAAATACTTAAATGTAAATCCAACACTTCCACACTTCATAAAACCGTACCAGCACATAATTTCACAAAATTTATATTTGCAGAATTTAATAGTACCATTCTTTGCTAGTTCGGATAGAACGTGGATGGCGCGTTTAGCAGACGCGCGATCGGCCTCGGTATGCGAGAACGCCGACTCAAGGATCTCGACTTGTGCACGAATTTCACTCACGAGATCTCGTTGCGCTCCACGAGGAGAAAGAGAAATCGAATCGTCGCGAACGATCTTTAACCGATCTTCTTTAAATTCCTCGTCCGGCTTCCTCTTCAAGCTTCTCCGAGATGACGATGAACTCGACGACGATTGCTCGTGGCGCCTTCCAGAGCTCTTTTGGTTGTCCATGGGAGATAGGCACGGAGAGAGATGTAGAAAGAGAAAGAGATGAGGAGAGAGAATGGAAATGCTTTCTGTCTGTGGGAGGGAGAGAGGTTGTGTGTAGGGGTAGTATGGGAAACATTTCGGTGTGCGATTTATTTACGTGGGATTTGGCGCATGGTTTACCAGTAAAACCCGCCTGTGCTAATGTAATGAATTGTTTGAATTTATGCACTCCCGCGTTAGCTACAAAAAAAAAATAGTAATTAAAATAAATTCAATTACTTATATATCCCTAATCAATTAATTATAACAAATATACTTCAATATTCAATTGTTGTATAAATAATATTTTTAATTAATTGCAAAAAAAAAACCCATTATTGCGTACATGAACAATATATGTCATGATAATCTAAATGAATTTGCAAATGATTGCATTATCTATTTAAAATTTAACAAATAACTACTTTAGTAAGACACATCATCACTTCTTGAGATAATCGTCAACTATACTTCTCCTCGAATGACACTTGCAAATTGTAAAAATTGATTTTATTTTTTTCCTTTTTGGATTTTACTCGAAATGATTGACAAAAAAAATAACCCAATATAAAGTTATGGTGTGCATTTCAATTGACCACTTAACGAAAAATTGGATAATTTCTATGTAATTGAATCGACTTGCATAAAAATTGATTGTTCAGGAAATTGTAATTAAAATAGGTTTATATTTAAGCATTACAGATTTTCTTTACAATGACAAAAAATAGTAACTAAAAAAATCCAAGTAATTAAATATCCATAATTAATTATGATAAAACTTTCAATTGTCGAAGAATTAGTAGTTTCTATTAACTAGATGAAAACTCTCTTAATCTCTTTTTTGTGGTGGGGTGGGGTGGGGGCGGGGGAGTAAATAAAAAACATTCGTCTAAAAAGTTAAGTTTTTAAACAAAATATTTCAAAGAAAAATAATTGTTAACAAGAACAAACATATTTATAAGAACGATACCTCCAACTGACATATAAACTTGAAGGCATAAAAATTTCGTGCTCGTGATATAGAAAATGGAAAGGTTTTATTAGAGGGTATACTAGATTGATGTCTATATCAATGATATTAGAAATTAGAATTAGCAAAATATATCTTTCTACTTCTATAAGAATCTAAGTGAATCACGAAATGACTGCAACACCTACTTAAAGTTAAATGAATGAATGCTCTTACTAAACTCGTCATGTCAAATGACAATTGTAATGATCGATTTTTATTGTTTTAATTTTACAAAAAATGTACCTCTAATACTAAACATTACTTATCAAATACAATGGATTGATGTACATGTCCCAATTTAAAGTCACCACATGCATTTCAAGTGACCATTTAAAAAAAACTTTATAGATTATTTCTATCTAATCAAACTGAATTGCGCAAAATTAATATTTGGAGAGCCAAACGTCAAATAGTAAAAATAATAATAATAATAAATAAAGGACTGAAGTAATTCAATAGTTGTATATATGAGAAAATTGTCTTGACCCATA